GATTTGTGAAAGGCGGCACAGTGGTTGGATCAGGCAGGAACCTGGGTCATCCCTGAGCCAGGAAGAGGCATTCAACATCTGGGAGGCTTGAGAACCCCAGTTCTTTAGGGGTTAGCGAGGAATGAGCTGTCTTTGTTCTTGCCTTTGTCCCTCCTGTGTGATCTTATGCCTGAATCTTCCTTTTCCCCTTATATTTTATGAGCACCAGGCTGTCACAGCTTGTCTCACCCGGTGAAGGACAAGGGAGGTTTATGCCTCGTTCTTTCTCTCCTGGGAACTCTCCTTGGAGCATACATGACGCATCACTGGTTAAATGTTGGCTGGAGACACTATTGCTCAGAACTGTAACATTAGAGCATTGTTATACATGTTACTCTTTTCTGAGCTATCAGGCTGAAGTTGGAGAGACCTTAAATTAATCTGAATCATCTATACAGTAATAACCCCTTATGTTTTCACAACCTTCCCCAGTTCAGTTGTAAAGTATTTTTCTCTACATAATTTCAATTGGTTATTGTTTAAAACCACTACCGTTTAGGACCATTTGTAATAAGAAAGCAATGGATAAAATTAAGAATTCTATTTTGCATCTGCAAAAATCAAAGCTCATGGATGTTAAATGATAATCCATTAGAATCAAGTCCCCAGTAAGGGCTTCAGGTCCCCTCCCCCGACCATATCATAAGACTGTCACCCAGCACACACCGACCTTTACACAGGGATGGAGATTTGATTCCAAGCTAATGATTTTAAGACCAACTCGTCTGTATTTTTAGTTTGAATTAAATGGCATTAGTATACTATAACTACCCCTCCATAGAATTTAAAGAACTGATGCTAAAAAATATAAAATGTCCAAGGATATGGAATAGTTTTGAAGAAAGAAACTTAGAGAATTTATATACCTAATTTTAAGATGTGCAACAAGCTACATTGATAAAGCCAGGGTGGTATTGGAATAAGGTTGTCCACAGAGGTCTATGGAACGTGACAGAGAGTCCAGAAATGGACCCATACACACACGTTCAATTATTTTTTAACATATGTACTAAGGAATTCAAAGGCAGAAAGACTCTAATAAATGGTAACAGAGAAATTAGATGTCTACAAAGAAAAAAAGTAATTAGATGTGACCCTTTATCTCACATCATATATAGAAGTTCACTAGAAATGGATCATATAATAAATATAGAAGCTAAAATGATAAGTTTTATAAACTAAAGCACCAGAGAAAATTTCTGTGACCTTGGAGTTAGGGATGAATGTCTTAGATGAGATGCTAAATAGCAGAAGTCATAAAAGGAAACATTGATTAATCGAACTTCATTAAAATTAGAAGCCTTGACTCTTTAAGAACAGAAGATGAGATTTCTGGAATGGTGGTATGAATTGCTGTCAGAAAAGAAGGGAGCAATAGGGCTTGGCGCCTGTGGCTCAAGTGGCTAAGGTGCCAACCACATACACCTAAGGTGGCGGGTTTGAATCCAGCACGGGCCCGCCAAAACAACAATGATGGCTGCAACCAAAAAATAGTTGGGGTGCTGTGGCGGGTGCCTGTGATCCCAGCTACTTGGGAGGCTGAGGCAGGAGACTTGCTTGAGCCCAGGAGTTGGAGGTTGCTGTGAGCTGTGATGCCACAGCACTCTACCCAGGGGGACAGCTTGAGGCTCTGTCTCAAAAAAAAAAAAAAAAAGAAGGGAGCAATAAACAATTTAACACTGCATTTGAAAACTTTAATACTCTGCTTACAGTAACAGACAGAAGAAATTGTCAGAAAATCAAGAAGGAGATGAAGACTTGAACAACCTGCAGAACTGTGAGTCAGTTAGACTAAGAGGTATCTGTGTACTGAACCCTCCACCCAGCGCAGCAGAGACCCAGCTCCCCAAAGACACAGGGCGCACTGCCCAGGATAGACCACGGAGTAGGCATAAGGAGAGCCTGGCACATTTAAAAAAATTTAAATCTTACAAAGTATGTTCTCTGACTACAAGGAAATAAAATCAGAAATAACAGAAGGATATTTGGGACTCACGAATGTGTGGAAGTGAAAGGACTCACTACTAAATAACGGATGGCCCAAAGGAGAAATCGCAATAGAAACCAGGACACGCTCTGAGATGAGTCAACACACAGCAGCATACTAAAATTTATGTGCTATAACTACAACAGGGTGGAGTGGAAAAGTTACAGCTCTAAATGCCTATACTAGAAAAGAAGAAGAATTTTAAATCGGTATCCTAATTTTAGACCTCAAAAAACTAGAAAAAAAGAAAAAGGGACTAGGCCCAAAGCAAGAAGCCGGGAGAGAATAATAAAGACTAGAACGGAAATAAATGCAACAGGGAACAGAAAAACAACAGAGAAAATCTAAAAACAAAGACAAAGAAAAGTCTGCAAAACCAGAAGTTGGTTCTTACTTCATCTAGACTGACCAAGAAAAAAAGACTAAATTTACCAAAAAATCAAGAATAAAAGAAAAGATGTAACCCAACAAAACTGATCTTTTTGTGATATGTGAATTTATCTTTAAGTTTGAACATTACTTCTTGAAATAAACAATAATATTAGAGATGTATGATATCAAATATCCCAGACTTGCTAATATTTCTCTTTCCTTTTTAATCAACAAAGTAATCAGTTAAAGGAGTCTTTGGTCCTAAAGATCATCCTCATTTTTTTTCTCCTAATGCATCAGTGCTTTAGAAACTCATTTGAAGATCACTTTTTTGAAGATAGCGCTGGGAGGGCCACTGTGAGAACTTGGCTAAGATGTCTACATTTCATGACTGGACACTGTTCTGTGTTAAAAAGCCATTGTCCTCAGCTGAAGTGTGGCCTGCGAAAGTAACTAGAGGCTCCCTCTAGTTCTCTGGATTTGTGTAGAATATTTGTCCATCAAAAGACAAAAATGCCAAGCTGTTACTATTTATATAAGTAAAAGAGCCAGATGATAATGATTTAGTTGGTTCTCAGATCAAAGCTACCACACACCTTGTTTCAATCAGAACACGCTAATAGGTTTCCTTTAATTCTTCAAAAGGCTCCCTCCTGTTCAGCACATTAGTCTGGGGCTTTTAAACAAGGATTTGACCCTTGGAAACTTCTGCCTCGTTTTCCTAAGGAACACATAGAACAGATTTTTAGAGTTAATGCCCTAAAATACACTCGCAGGGATGAACGGGCAAGAATTTCTCTTAAAGTTGCACTAGAGTGCCATCTACTGGCCAAACAGCTTTAGTGTCTGCACGAGGCAGCTGTTTGCTCTGATGATGAGCGCCACATACCAGAACGTTAGGAGACAGATGATCTAAAAACAACAAAATACGTCTGTCCAAAAAGTAAATGATTTCTTCCTTAAAAAATTTATTCTTGACATTCTAGAGAAATGGATTTTAATGCTATGAAAGTACACCTGAAAAACCTTAGAGAATTAACAAATAAAACTAAATCAAACCATAGAAGAATAGAAGATGGCAGAATATAGCATTAACATACAAAATCAATGGCTTTCATTTTTGTAATTCATTGTATAAAATAAAGGTAGAGAAAACCCCATTTACAAAAGCAACAAAGAAGAATAAATTTAACAAGAAATATGTAAAACGCATATGAAGAAAACTTTAAAACACTCGACAGACACAAAAATAGATTTGATTAAGTGCAATAAAACACTTTTTTCTTAGCTACAATGACTCAATATTAAAAATGTCATTTCTCTAAATTAATTTAGAAAGTTCAGTCAATTCTAACTTTAAAAATAGCGCTAAATGTTCTTATGAAGCTAATCAAGCTGATAATAATTTCAAATGGGTAAATGAGTAAGAAAATCCAGGAAAACATTGAAGAATAAAAGGTGTGACAGGGGACCCCTGTGAAGTGTCCCTAGAGATGCCGAAGTGCTCCCAGAAGTAAAGTCATGACATTCCAAGAAAAGTCGAATTGCTTGATATGTACAACACATCGAGGTCTGCAGCTGCAGTCTCCTGCCATTTCGAGATGAATAAATCCAGCATAAGGGCTATTACAAACAAAAAGAAAGGGAAGGTCATGAGGCCACCATTGCAGCTATGTCACCAGGCATGGAAACCTTGCAGTTTTTGTGAATTATCTTTTGATCTCATATTGAAAATTCAGCTTTTATGTGGGTGCAGGATTTTTTTACCAAAACCATACCTGTAGATTCTGATAGGGTTCGAGAACAAGCAAAGTCACTATATGGCAGTGGTTCTCAACCTTCCTCATGCTGCAACCCTTTAATACAGTTCCTCATGTTGTGGTGACCCCAACCATAAAATTATTTTCATTGCTACTTTGTAACTGTAATTTTGCTACTGTTTTGAATCATAATGTAAATATCTGATATACAGGATGTATTTAGGTGACCCCTATGAAAGGGTTGATCAACCCCAAAGGGGTCGTGACCCATAGGTTGAGAACCACTGTATATGGTAACTGAAAACAAAAAAAAGGTGAAGGAGTTAAGGACGGGGAATTTAATACCAGGAAGATTAGCTTGATAATTTTACAAAGAAGGTTTGGCTTTAAAAATGTCAAGATAATAGGAGAAACAGCTTCTTCCAGTCAAGAGGCAGCAAATTTCCAGATGCCGTTATTAAGAAAACCATTGAGGAGAAAGGATCTCTGCCTGAACAGGGTTCTAATACAGTTTGAGGCAGGATAGGATAGGCTAACTCTGCTGTTGTGTGCAGGTGTGATCAGGTTTAAGATCAAGGCTGCCCTTGACTATAAAGCTGCTACCTCTCCAACCTTGAAGGGAAAGGGTAAATACCAGCTGCCAGTCTTTTGATTGTACAGTAAGAAGGCATAACAAGATCTTCTCTCTGGATTGCTTCCATCAGTGCTTTGTTCATGAAGTCAGGAAGTCCCCCTCCAGTAAAGAACTGCTTTTAAAAATTACTTTGGATTGAACGCGGTGGCAGCTCTTGGGTCTTCTGTGTGTTTTACCTAATCCGTGCCGACTCTACGTGTAAGCAACCATGTCTAAGGGACCTGCGGTTGGTATTGATCTTGGCACCACCTACTCTTGTGTGGGTGTCTTCCAGCATGGAAAAGTAGAGATAATTGCTAATGATCAGGGAAACCAAACCACTCCAAGTTATGTTGCCTTTACTGACACCGAACGATTGATAGGTGATGCCGCGAAAAATCAAGTTGCAATGAACCCCACGAACACAGTTTTTGATGCCAAGCGTCTGATTGGACGCAGGTTTGATGATGCTGTTGTCCAGTCTGATATGAAGCATTGGCCTTTTGTGGTGGTGAATGATGCAGGCAGGCCCAAGGTCCAAGTAGAATACAAAGGAGAGACAAAAAGTTTCTATCCAGAGGAGGTGTCCTCCATGGTTCTGACAAAGATGAAGGAAATTGCAGAAGCCTATCTGGGAAAGACTGTTACCAATGCTGTGGTCACAGTACCAGCTTACTTCAATGATTCTCAGCGTCAGGCTACCAAAGATGCTGGAACTATTGCTGGTCTGAAT